AGACGACCTAAACGCAATTTTTCCAACATTTTTTTTGAATAAGTTTGAGATATATATTATTAAGTATGAAAATTATTAATATCATAAAAAAAACAAAAAGGAAAAAAAAAAACTTCCTTTGTACCAAACATTATTTATCCAGATATTTTAGTTGAATATATTATTCGTCATTATTTATCAAGATATTTTAGTTGAATATATTATTGGTCTAAATAAGGACGACTAATCATTGTTTTCAAAATATATTTAGATCATCTCTAAAATCCATTTTTGTTAATTATACATATCTTTATCATTTGGTCACACACAAACATCTAATAATTTTGAGTATAATTCAATCTAAAAATGATATGTTTGTTTGACAACTTGTTTCATCAATCCATAAATTAAAGAAAATTATTAAGTGGTAAAAGAACATGTCACAACGTTGTTAGGAAAATGGATTTGGATGATGATGCTGCTGTAATTTTTGCCAAATTAAAATTTTGTTTTCAGTCAATTATAATTTACATAAATTATGGTTTTCGTGGATAAATTTATATATGCGATCTACACTATACAGAAGTCACTATGAAAACTTAGAATATCAATAAGTTTAATCACTACATCATATTTAAAATGTGGAAATCAATCTCCAGAATAATCCAAATTCAAGATTACACCACCAACAGCATGATTTAGGGTACTAAATTTTTAAGAAAATGCAACATGCTTAAAGATTCCAAAATAATGTTCTCCAATCATTATTCTTTTAGGTCTGTTTTTAAATTATAAGATGGAAATCAACATTTTTTTTATACAACAACATAGGTGAGATTTATTCGGTGTGTTCGGTGTGTGTATAAGCTGGTCTATACACTCACATATTCAATTAAGAAAAAAAATAAATAAAAATAACGTGAGGTGTTGACCAACACCTCCATCAACTCCATCAACTGGGATCTTTCGCAACACCTCCATCAGCCGGGATCTTTCTTCGAAGACCATTTATGATAGGAACGACCTTTCATATCAAGCTAAATACTAGACAAGAATGCCCCTAAATAGGATGAATGTCTCCCTATCCAGAACATGGACGCCTGACAGGCCGACCTCCGGCCCCATATGTTCGATTGCCCATCAAATTCCCTATCGGGTACCCTAGCCTATAAGTAGAGCACTTCACTCTCCAGATATTTTCTCACTGAGTGACACTCAAGCTCTTCCCTAATCAACCACCTTTGACCTGGTTCGACCTTGACCGACTTTTGTTCTACTAACAGATTCGAATTCACGATCTTTTCGTTGGAGATAGATGTACCTTAACCAATTGACCTATACTCAAAGATTGACATTGAGATAGACCGTTAATCTATTCAAAATTGATTAAAGATTTTATTTCCAACATTAATAGTTAACTAATACATTATATAGTCTTCTTTATAAGTTATCGGTTCAAAATCTTACTCATTGTTTAAATCATAATTTACAAAACAAATACAAAAATCATGTACTACGCTTAGATTATTTATTCATAATATTATCACCCAAATTAAGCCTAAGAAGACAACTTGAACATATAGTTCTGGTTAAGGTACATATCTCTGATTAAAGATTCTTAAATTCAAATCTGTACCCTACATTGTATTAATTAAAATTAAGCATAAGAAATGTTAACAAATATTTATGAATATTCTATACCTTTATCATGTAAGTTTATTTAGATACTCTCTATCTATATATATACACATATATTTGACTGTTCAAGTTAAAGTGTCTGTTGAGATAACAAATCCAAAAAAGTTGTACAAAGAGTTTAATCCAAAAGAGTTGTAACTGTTCAAGTGAAAAAGTGTGTTGAGAGAAGTTAATCCCATGAAAAGTAATTGTTTGATGAAGATATGCATTTATCCGTCTATAGGTGCCATAACAAATAATCTATTAAATGAAAGATTATGTCTTTTTCTTCTATAACCTAAAACTCATTTCCAAAAAATATTAATGAAGATTTTTCTTATCTTCATGAGTGAAAACTGAACCATGTCAAAATAATATTTGAGAATCTAGAAACATATTTAATCGATTAAAAGGTAGAGTAACAAAATTATGTATTCATGTTACCTTCAACTTTTATTTTTTTAGATTATTTTAATATTTTTATGTGGATTACTTTTAAGTTATATATTAATGCTACCTTCGTGTTTTAATATTTAGTTAATGTTATTTTCAAGTTTGATTTAATATTTAGTTAAATGTTGTTTTCACATTTGATTTATATTTTAGTATTAGTTTTCTTATTTGTCTTAATATGACTTTTTGATTGCTGTTGTTCTTATTTTATTTTTCTTAATCATGTGAATCTTTATCCCACATTTTTTCAATGATTTCATGGCAGTATACATTATTCAATTTCTTTCTAAATTTCAATTCTTTAATTTTGGTTCATTCTTCCTTATTACATAATATACAAAAGATAAAAAGAATGAGTAAATAATTTAAGAAAACACACAAAAATATTATTGTTGTATTCATTTTAAAAAAAATTGACAACGAATAAGAATTGTCTGGTTCAAATGAATTTTGCATTGAAATTATGTTTGCATAGATAGTAATGAATCATTGTGGGCACTAAGCAGAAGTTCAAGAGAGAGTAATATAAAGTTTTCATTTAAAAATATTTTTCAAAAAAATAATTATTGAAACTAATAATTAATAAATTTAAGATGAAAGAGACAGATCCTCGTTCATAGTTGAATAAGATTTTTTTTTCTTATTTATTATTTTGGTTTAATTTATATTTACATCAGAAACTTCAATTTTTGTATTGAGTCTATTTTATTTTTAGTTTTTTAATATCAAAACATTATTTCTTTAAGTAGATAATATTACCTTAATATATTTAATTATACCATCCATTTTTTAAATTGTATCTATATTTAGATTAAGAAAGTTGTTAATAATTGTGCCAATAGGTATAAATTGTATTTTTTAATTATTATTATATTTAAATGATGTAGTATAATTTATATTTATCATTTTAAAAATAGAAAAAATATATTTGATTTTTCAATTTTAGAAAGTAGCTTAAGAGTAAAAATAGTAATTTTATTTGTTCCAATCATTTAATATTTAATTATAATTTTGACAATCTAACAAATTATTTCACTACTATTCGAATTTTTAGTTACATAATTTGATTTAATTTATTATGTCTCATTTAACAATAGACTTGATTATCAAAAATTGATAACCACATTAATTATTTCAATTTTATAGTATATTCAATATCTTTTATACCTCTTATTTTATTATTTTAGTTTGAAGAGTGTACTTTTTTTTTATTGAAAATGTTAGCAAATAATAATATATTTTATTTGAAACAAAATATTCATACCATTTAAAAGTTCCGTTGAGTTGTTATTCTATATGTTAAATTGGTAGAAATATTATATTAAATATATTTTATTTGAAACAAAATATTATTAGATTTAAAAGTTCTGTTAATTTGTTATTATATATGTTAAATTGTTAGAAATATTATATTAAAATGTTTATAACCACGTGCAATGCACTGTGATACTAACTATTACTAAATGTGCAGTTATTTTTTTTTAGAATTGAATTTCTTTTATTTTTGTTTTTAAAAATTATTTTATGAAGTCTTAGTCGAATTTTGAAAAAAAAAAAAAACTGGTCTTTGAAAACTATTTTAGCTTACAAAATTTGGCTACAGCTTAAAAAATATTTTAGAAATTAGTTTAGAAAAAAGTTTAGTAAATGAGTAGAATTTTAAAGTAAGAAAACCATAAACGAAAACAATATGAACGAACCTTTTAATTTAATGGGTTTACTTGAATAAGATAAGATCAATTAATAGGAATGTATTTGATTCTAAGAGAAATAAAAAGGTTAATTAACTACAAAACCCTAAGAAAAATTTTTAGAAGTAAAAAATCTTTGCAACCTACCAATAAAATAAAAAGAATCAAGTTTAATTTGGCCATTTTTAATTATTTTTTTGAAATAAGGCCATTTTTAATTTTATTTTAAAGTTTGTGTTTTTTTATTCACAATTTTTATGGGATTTAATAAGTTTATTTTTGCCAAAACGAACATAGCTTAGCTGCAACTGGTAGATACATCCAATCAAGAGATCGTGAGTTCCAATTAAGATTTTATAAGTTTATGGGGCATAATTTTGGCTAGGGTGAATGTAGGTGCTATTATAGGTAAAATTATTGATAATAAAAGCTTTTCTCAAGAGATGAAAAACAAAACAAAACAAATTTTTTTTCTTATAAGTAGACAAAATGAATTTTTAAAAACATAAAGCTTAGAAATTATCAATCTTTGTCTTAATTATTTTTCAATTTCTTGATTTTCAACATAAAATTGAAAATATATGCTTGTTTGTAACAAGATTTTGTTTTTAAAAATTTAGCATAGAGACCATATCTAATTTTTCACTTTTAAAAAACTTTCAATCTTAATCAAATATTTTTTAAAATTACTAAAATATTTTGAAATTAGATTTTAAAAGGAAAAGAAAACGATAGTAAATAAGCATGAATTTTTAAAAGTACAAAAATAAAATAAAAACGTTATGAAATTAGTCCAATTTATAAGAGAATTGTGTTTATGGATTTTTTAACTTTAAAAGTTATCCATAATAAATTTTTAAACTTTAAACTTTGTATTTAATATATTAATATATCACTAAACTTTAAAAACAACTCTATCTCTAAATTTTCAATTTTGTGTCTAACAAATCTTTGACCTATTAAATATTTTTTAAAATTTAAGGATCTCTTAAATATTTAAATATTTTTTAAAGTTTAAGGACAACTATTAAACACAATATAGAAAATTTATTAATTTATTAAAAAAAATTTTATAGTTCAAGGACCTATTGGATATAACTAAACTTATAATTTAAAAAAAAAAATAGCCCATGAATTTTTTTTAGAAGAAAACAACTTAACATAAAACAAATTCTGGAAAAACTAAATTGTCGAGCCACGAGTTGTTCCACTCTTCCCTCAAATCGTTTTCCATCGCTCATCCGGCTAAGACATGGGCCACCTTATTTGCCTCTCGACTGATATGTCTCATTGAAACTATTTCCATATCTTCCATCATCTGCCGAATTTCTTCTAAAAGCCAAATAATTTCAGTTTGATCTTGACATGTCTGTGAAGTAGATGAATGGCTTCGAGGGAGTCAGATTCCAAGTGAATTGGTCGACAGTGTTCTTGTCGAATCGCACGCAATCCCTCGCAAATAGCCATCACCTCTAGGTAAGTAATATTTCTTTCCGCTCTTATAATTCTACAGCCTGTTTTGATGACTTCTCCCTTCTCGTCTCTTAAAATCCAGCCAATCCCATCGGTGTTTGTATCAGCTCGCCATGCTGCATCCGTATTTAACTTCCATGAATTTGATGTGGGAGGTTTCCATCGGGCACGTGTATTATCTCCAATTCGCCTTATTGGGTGAAAGTCCTTCGACTTTCTTTTTAGATTTGTGTCTTGACCCGCACTGTTGATTATGTATCTATCAATCGCCAATTGAATGTCTCTAGTTTCTGAATGAACACCTTTGAAAATTGATTTGTTCCGCATTTCCCAAATCTGACAAGCTATTATCATGCTTCTTCTACGTTCTTCTTCACCAGCCTTATCCATTAGCCACTCCCAATACTCTTTTGTAGTCCAGTTTGTCCTGTCAATATAGAAAAAATTTGCTTCAATGGGAGTGCAATTTATCCATATATCTTTAATTACCTTACATTCCCATAGGATATGTTGAGTAGTCTCTTCTTTTTTCCTACAAAAAGGACAAAACAGATCAGTAATAATTCTTTTTTTCACCGGATTAACTTTAGAAGGAAGAATATCATTATAACTCTTCCAACAGCAGATTTTAATCTTTAGGGACACATTAGTTTTCCAGAACTTCTTCCACCACAGCTTTTGATTTTCGCCATTAGAAGTAGAACATTCTTTTGCTCGCTCCAATTCCATCCCCAAGTGATAGGCGCTTTTAATAGTGAAAAACCCTCTTTTGTCTTTATTCCATATAATTTCATCTTCTTGACTCTGTCGCGGTAAAGGAATTTTAAGAATCATTTCAGCTTCCTCCTCACAAAAGTTATCATGGACAAGATTCTCATTCCACCTTCCCCTTTCACTCATTAGAAATGCCACAGAATTGTGCTTCATCCCATCTTGGACATAAACTGGTGTGCAATTGCCTTCTCGAGGAATCTATGGATCATTTCCTATGGTAACAGTAGCCCCATTCCCAATAAATTTTTGCCCCACATTATACTTCGCCAAACAAAGGAAGGATTTTTCCCAATTTTAGCCCTCATGAAGTTACCATGAATAAAATATTTTCCCCTCATAACCCTCGCAAAAAGACTATCCGGACTCCTAATCAATCTCCAACATTGTTTTGCTAGCATAGCTTGATTGAAAATGCTCACATCTTTAAAACTCATACCTCTTTTATCTTTACTGATAAACATCTTCTTCCCACTCCTCCAATGTATTTTCTTTGTCTTATCTGATGATCCCCAACAAAACTTAGCACATAAAGAATTGATTTCTTTGCACAAGCTAACAGGTAACCTGAAACAATTCATGGCATAATTAGGAATGGCTTGAGCAACTGTTTTAATCAATACTTCTTTATTGAGAAAATTTTCTCCTTCCAACCTTGAAACACCTTCCAAACTCTCTCCTTAATTGAGTTAAAGGCTTGACATCGACTCCGAGTTATCTGCGAAGGTAACCCCAAATATTGCCCTAGAGTGTTCGTATACTTGATCTTCAATTCATCTTTGATATAATCGATCATCTCCGAACTTGTGTTTTTGCTGGCCATAAACATTGACTTTTCAAAGTTGATAATTTGCCCCGATGCTTTCTCATAGAAGTGAAGAACATTCTTAATAGCTTGACAATCTCGATGGGTAGCTTTGAAAAAAAAAAGGGTTATAGAAGGGCAATATTTATTTATACACAAACCTGAATAATTTCGAAGTTGTTCCTCTTTATTAAGGAGTGTGGAAAGACCTTCTGCACAAAGGAGAAAAAGGTACGGGGATAAAGGATCGCCTTGGCGAAGACCTCTTTGAGGAATAAAATTCCTTCTAGGAAACCCATTAAGAATGACTGAGAAGCTAACAGACTCAACACAATCCATTATCAAAAAAATCCATCTACTACAAAACCTCAATTTCTCCATAACTGCCCTCAAGTACCCCCACTCGACTCGATCATACGCCTTGCTCATATCCAACTTCATAGCGACCACTCCATCTTTCCCTGTTCTTTTATTGTTAATTGCATGAATACACTCAAACCCAATCATCGCATTATCTGTAATTAATCTTCCTGGCACAAACGCTGATTGGTTGGGGGAAATAACCTTATCAAGAACTTGTTTCAACCTATTAGCCAGGACTTTTGTCATAAGCTTGTAAATCACATTACATAAACTTATAGGGCGAAAATCTTTCACATCCGAGGGTTCCTGTTTTTTTGGGATTAAAGCAATAAAGGTTTTGTTAAGGATCGCCAGCTCAGACTGACCATTTAAGAACTTCAAACACAGATTGGTCGTTTCCTCCCCCACAATATCCCAATATTTCTTATAGAAAATTGCCTGCAATCCATCTGGTCCCGGTGCCTTCGTAGGGGCATACCTTTTAGTGCCCTCTCAATTTCCTCCTTCACAAAAGGATTTGTTAGTTGAGCATTATCCTCATCACTAATCTTAATAGAAATTGAGTTGAGAATTTTCCTCGTATCTTCAGCAGAGGCATTCTTAGTAGAAAAAAGAGTCTTAAAATACTCTCTAGCAATTTCCCCCATTTCCTCATCTTGATCGGTCCATCCCCCGTTTATCCGGTCCAACCCTTTAATTATGTTTTGATTCCTTCTCTGGCTAGCTTTAATATGGAACCACTTTGTATTTCTATCCCCCCATATAATCCAATCTTCTCTAGTTCTTTGTTTCCAGTACATTTCATCTTCTTCGAGGAGATGCTCAAGCTCTTTCTCTGCACCCATCATGGCTTCTCTCCAGTTTGTCTCCCTTCTGTTCACAATATCTTGAATTTCCTCCTCTTTCCTAGCAATTGCACCTTTAATGGACCCTCCTAATCTTTCCTTGTTCCACCTTTTTAAATCATGTAAACACTTYCCTAGYTTTAAATTGAAGGTAACAACATTGTCCCCCTCTATATCTTGCCAATTTCTCCTAATAAGCTCTCTACAGTGCTCAAACTTCGTCCAGCCCTCYTCAAAACGACTAGGCTTCCATCTTCTTCCTTGTTGACTGAYCGTGTTCCACCATTCCCAATCGGCAAGTATCRGTCTATGATCCGAGGCGAGAAAATCCAGGTGCCTCACAACAAAAGAAGAGCATATAGTGTCCAACTCCACATTCAGCAAGAACCGGTCCAAACGCTCCCAAATGTTCTCACCACGAAACTGTTTATACCAAGTAAATTTATCTCCCACCACTTCCGCATCTAGCAACCCACAGTGATCGATTACATTTCTAAAGTCCTCCATCTGACTTAATCTTTTACCAGCACCTCCTTCTTTTTCAGAATCCATGGTTATCTCATTGAAATCACCACCCAAAATCCATGGCACATAACAAAAATCTGGAAGCTTTTCGTATGTTATGGGTATCCATCTTTCATCCGCCATCACACCGATCTTTATCATTACTCCTCTACGTAAGGATTTGCTAACATCAATCTGAGATCTAACTCTAAGAGTTTTTCCCCAGCATTTCCCGTCCTCATCGGAATTTAGCTTTTCAAATTTCCCTACCAGATTTCCTAAAGCTATAACTGTCTTCCTAGAGAAACAAGCAAATGGTAGTTCATGGAAATGTATCCAAAAAGATGCATACCTGAATTCTAGCTCGTTGAAATTGCAGTTTGCTCTAGGTTCCTCCAACATTACCATAGACTTATCAAAAAACCATGGTCCATTGTTGAGAATTTTGCTTTTATCTCGAACAGTCTTGAATTTGCAGAGAAACAGATTCTTCCCTACTGACTCAATTTTCACATTTACATTAGCCCAGATCCTAGGCATCATGTTCTTGAAGACCTCACCAGGGATATTCTTCAATGTTAGGAGTTTGCAGACCAGTGAGAATTGAGCTTGTTTATCATAGTCCTCAATTTCATCTTCACCCATATCAAAAATTTCACCTTCACCCATATCAAAAATTTCACCCTTCTCCTCTTTAGTCAATTTCAGTCTTTCCACCAGTTGACTCAACAACTCATCCGCCATTAGAACCCGAAAAAATACGCAGGTAAACCCCTTCTAGCAGACCTTCGGCTGCCCCTATCAACACCTTGGCTGCCTTCCCTCTACAAACTCTCAGAGAGAATTCGAGAGCCTTAAATAGAGAGTATCAATTAACTAACCCATGAATTAATGTTTGACATTGCTGAGAAAAAGATTGAGCTCACTTATTGATCAATTGCTATTTCTTGTGGGCCAATGTATTAAATGTGAAAATCAAATTAATATGCCAATGAATTGGTAGGGCAATAGCTGTGTAGCACTCTTTATTTCAATAATAATAATAATAATAATAATAATAATAATAATAATAATACACTGACACACACCCAACACTAACATTTCATCTTTACTTCAACCTCAAGCAATTTTTACATGTGAAATCAATGTCCCCCCACTCTATTATTATTTTCGTACCATTTTTTCTTTTAATTTATAATTCACCCTCTAATTTTTGGTCAAAATACTACTTGGTCTTGGTATTTTCAGCATTGATTCATTTTGGTTCGTGTACTTTTAAATTTGGTTCATTTTAATCATTGTACTTTGAAAATTTCATTTTGGTCCCTATACTTTTAAAAAGGGATCATTTTAGCCCATCTTTACAAAATTTTAACACAAAATTTACACATAAAAGAGACTCTTTAGTATAAACTGATATTCACATTTTAAGAAATATATTGATTGTAGTGTTGTGTTGAAATAATTAATGACAGAAAAAATGAGATAATTAATGATAGAAAAAATGAGATTAGGAATAAAATTAAAAGTGAACATGGACAAAAATGAACATTTTGAAAGTTTATGGACAATCAAGTACAAACACCAAAGTATAAAAGCAGGAACAAACTAGTATTTTAATCCTAATTTTTCTACATTATCAGTCTTGTTGCCTTGCAATTAGTGATATATATGATGTTATGCCTTTTCTCTCTTTCATTGGGTAGGGAACAAGTATACTTTTTAATGCATAGTAAGGAGCATATGTAAATGAATGGTGTTGATGCGTAGATTTCGGTCCTCCGGTTCACTACCTCGCATCCACCAAACTTGTTGATCCGGGACTAGTACCTGCAAAATCAAATCGAGCTAA